ATCCATAATTTTACTAGTTTCAATATTATCCGAAATAATAGAATTTTTGTCCACATACTTTAATTTCTGAGTGTTAAGAAACTTACCTGTGGCAGCATCAAAGATCCTAACATTTATACCTGGTGCAGAGATGTTTTTGTTGGCTGATGATCCTTCTCCTTGAGCAATGAATGACTGTTTTTTCTTTTTGGGAAAAGTAACAGTCTGCCATTCGTTTGTAGTGTTTTTAGGCAGCTTCTTTTGCTTCTCAACCTCCTGATTGGCCACAGGTTGGATATGAGGACTTTGATTGGAACACTTCAATGTAGAGTAGCCTAGGCAACCACAGCGATTACATAAAATATTTTCCCCTTCATAAAGGATTGACTGTCTATGGGAACCAATAGTTATGTAGGATTGAACCGTTTGTTCCAAAGGAATTCGGACACATAACCTTGCGTATCTTCCTCTAATGGTGGACGAAGTACATGCGTCTATTTTTAGTAATTTCCCTATGGCATTTCCAATTTTGGCTAAGATGATCCCATCATAAAATTCAGTTGGAAGATGAGGCAGTCTTATCCAAATGGCCGTATGACTTTGAGTGGCTTTAGTTGCCACAAAATTTGGAGTCCATTTTTGGATAGAAAGAAATGATCCATTGATGAACCAGGGGCCATTTTGTAGTGCCTTCCTTGCATTTTCTTCTTTGTTAAATTTAACTGTATAGTAGTCTTCCCCTAGGTCGATTAGGCAGAGATTTTCCGTAGGCTTCCAAAGATTTTGAATTTTTGCCTTGAGATAGTGATGTAGAACTCTTTTTCCTATTAGTTTTATGATCACTGGAAATTTCCAAGGTTCATAGATTCTATGGATATCATCATCGGATAGAGTTATGCTTTTAATCCCTAGCTCATCAGTTCTTTGTGTTTCTGGGAGGAGAGGGAGATGTGGGAGATCCAAGGACATTGGTGAAGAGAAGTTATCACTATGGCTTCCGTTGGGGGTTGTATTTTCCCCATTAGTTTATCCTTGTAGGAATTAGTTTGAACCATCGAGGTATGTTGGGAAAGAAGAGGGTCAATATCAGGAGGTTTTGGAGGAATGGATGGTGTTTTGGTTAGTAGACGCCATGGATGGGGAGTTGGAAGTAGAGAGAAGGAAGA